TGATGCTCCGTTCATGATGGCGGCGCTGAGGATCCGTGTTGATCAAGATGCTTGCAGTCTGGATAGACGTAGAACCTTTGGGATTCATGCTTCATACAATAATGTCGGCGTTAGGCAAAAAGAGAGGTTTCAAAGATCGGGAGTAAGCTAAAAAGTTACTCCAGCCGGATTCTAACACCAGTTGTCAACGCGTGGATACGGTCGAGTGGGGAACTTGCTCATACTTAAGACAAAGTGTACATTGACGAAGAAGAAGAAACACGTTGAGTTCAAACTTCTTTAGTTGGTTACACAAGAGTGGCAAACAAGTATACAAGACAGAAATGATCTGGGTTGCCGGCTCAGACATACATGAGGCGAGCGGAGTTCCTGCTCAACCCCAGGGCGTTTCCTAAGAGCGGCAATTTCCTGCTCGCGGTCGTCCCTACACAGACAGTCGGAATACCGAACTCCTTGACAATATAGATGTGGGCATATATATAAACTCTGTCAAAAAAGAAACGCAACCCCTGTCCTCAGATATGAAAAATTCGTTTGAATGAAGTTATTGCTTCCAAACTAAATGTTATTCGAATGTATTGAAATTATACACGTAATTAATGAAGATTACCATCCAAACAACTGCATTTGTACGCATAAGTGTATTTTATTGCTTATTCCGTCACAACGCATGAAATGACCCTCATGGTGACTTCGCACAAAAAAAACACATGCAAATCATGAAAATGGCAGTTAATGTAGGGGTGTATAAAAGCCCATGTGCTTTCGTATTATATTCATTCATTTGTCGCCGAAAAGCTGTGTGAAAAATGCCACGATTGAGTGCTGCCGACCGAAATATCGCCATTGGTCGTGTTCAAGCCGGAGAAAGTTTTGGAACTGTTGCACGGCACCTAAATGTTCACAAAACAACGATATCCCGACTTTGGAGCCGCTACAACAACTTCAATTTGACCAACGATCGCCCGAGAAGTGGAAGGCCAAGAATCACGACCCCCCTTCAAGATCGGTACATCCGGGTCCATCACCTGCGTAATCGGCATGCCCTACCAACCGTGACTGCCACACAAATACCAGGTTTGAGGAGAGTGTCAGCTCAAACGATTAGGAACCGTCTGAAAGAAGCGGGTTTACGTGCCTGTAGACCAGTTGTTGGACCTGTACTACGCCCCTACATCTCCGCCGACGACTCAGGTGGTGCAACAACGTAAGGATATGGACTTTACAAAACTGGAGGCGCATCTGGTTTTCTGATGAATCCGTTTTCTTTTGCAACATCACGACGGAAGAAACGTGTGTATAGGGAGACGTCATGAACGTTTTGCGCCCATCTGCGTCCGACAGGGGACAGATTTGGCGGAGAAAGCGTTATGGTTTGGGGATCCATCTCATACAACCAGAAATCAGACTTGGTGATCGTTGAAGGGAACCTGACAGCCCAACGTTACATCAACCACGTATTACAGCCTCACCTTCTCCCGATTATTGACCAACAGACACAGATTTTTCAACCAGACAACGCCCGGCCTCATACTGCACGTGCAACAATGAACTTTCTGCAGAATTCCAACGTCAATGTCTTGCCATAGCCCTCTAAATCACCAGACCTCAACCCTATTGAACACCTGTGGGATACTCTGGGTCGACGCGTACGTCAACGTCAGCCGCCGCCACAGACGCTGCAACAGCTCGGCGTTGCACTGCAGGAGGAGTGGAGAGCCATTCCCCAGGAAAGAATCCGGCGTCTTATCCGTTCTTGTCAAGGAGATGCCGTGCAGTGATTGCAGCTCGTGGTGCTCATACGAGATACTGAGAAAGACGCCCCTGGTGACAAACTGGTGTCTGTGAGATGACTTTTGAAATGACAATTTTAAACATGCCCATCTTGGTTATTATTCTGCCAAATTTCAGACTTCTGTCTTAAATAATAACAATGCTGTGTCGTCTTAAAACTTCAGATCAAAATCTCTAAAATACAGGGGTTGCGTTTCTTTTTTGACAGAGTTTATATAAACAGAGTGGTACAGGGCGGCTGACAAGACAATGTACACTGCGGTAGTGATAAGGATTAAGACTGCAGATTAGCGTCATATAAATAATTACAATTAAGTATCACATGGCTTGGCTACACATAATTTCAGGCCTTTGGAAATATTTTAACGATGACTGTCCTGAATCAGTCGCTATGACAATACTTAAAGGCTGTTCGTTTCCTTCCAAGAATAGTGTTTGTTCCTATTTCGGATAAAACTAGACACTGTGGATAAAACAATCGCCCATATATGTCAATATTGTAACTCAGAAAAAATGTAACGTACATTTCAAATCAAGTTGCTTTCCCCGTTACTTGGTTTTTCGCCAAGTAAATACTACAATGGTAGCAATGAGGGGACAACAAAGGCTTTAAACCAACAGACAATTGTAACTTCTAACTTTAAAACGATAAAGCAATGAGAACTAATATGGCTTCTTACCAAATACACTAGGTTTTCAGGTGGTAATGGGCATTTCACTTGGAATTTTCAATCTTCTCTGCAACCAGGTTTAGGTCTCAATGACTCAGTTTGAACATACGCTGCCATAAGGTACTGGTTCGTGAAGCGTGCACAAAACCTGTGCAGCAGCACTGAATGACATCTGGGCGTGACGGCCATTGCAGAAGCTGCTTTCTAGACTGCATACAGGAGATGTTGACGGTGTCATCGCTGCTGTCGGCGTGGTGAGGCTTTAGGATCAACATGGGGCTTTTCAGCAAACGCGAGGGACTCAGTTCTCCAGAACTCACAAAGCCCGCCATTCAGACATTCACGGCAGTAACAGCCAACCTCTTGAGGACGGCTACAACTGAATTCCCCAGACCAACTACAGCGTGAACCTTCATGGTTCCTTTAACTGTGACCCAGTGGTTATCTTATTTATAACAATATATACTCTAGTGAGTGAGTGAGTCAGTCAGTTGAGTTTTACGCCGCACTCAACAATATTCCAGCTGTATGACGGCGGTCTGTAAATAATCTCATCTGGACTAGACAATCCAGTGATCAACAGCATGAGCATCGATCTGCGCAAGTGGGAACCGATGACATGTGTCAACCAAGTCAGCGAGCCTGACCACCCGATCCCGTTAGTCGCCTCTTACGGCAAGCATGGGAGACTGAAGATCAAGATTCTAACCCATACCTTTACGGGTATATATACTGTAGAGATAGGTTGTATATAAGGATACGATACAAATATCCTGAAAACATTATGTTTAAATATTCTGATGTATAGATCACAAAAAAGAAGCATCACTGGATACCAGGTGCTTACCATTAGGTTACATCATTAAATACTATTCCAAACACGTACATTATTGAATGGGAAATGCATCAAAATTGGGTCGTTTCTACCTTGTAAATACATTTCTGACAGACTATGTAAGTGTTAACACAAAACTAGGAGTTGTATTTCTAAATTGAATATAGCAATAAACACCTGTACCAACGGTAACGTACATTTCACTTAAGTTTGCAACTGAACATTTGCCTGAAATTGAATCCATTTGGTTTATCCATCAATTCCAGACATTTCTGAATGAAATAGACCCAGAATCATTACTTGCTCGCTACAAAAACAATAGTTTTCAAGAACCATGTCAACTCACCGAAGATGGAAGATGCTATGCCGATGTTAATAGATCTCCTGTAAGCTTGCCTGGGGGTTAGTTCACTACTCTAGCGAAATGGCAGACGACAGAAAACACATGTGAAAACTCAAACTGAGCTATTTTTACTTTCTTCAATTTCGGTCACGTACATTTCACATGGGATCTATTGAATCATTATCTCACCAGCTAAAATCTACTTCGAATCGAAACTTGTGATTCAGGTAGTCCATGTACGTTACATAAATATGATTAGCCTTACAAACATTGTTAAATTATTATTGAGAAAAAAAGTGGTAAGTAACGTACATTTCATTGTTAAAATTACCCTCGGGTTTGAATTTTTGTAAACTGTGTAACTGTACTGTATATATAGCAGTTTGGAAATGATGTGAATGTGTGAATATGCTAAACGAAATGACTGCTATTTTATATTTAACAGAAAGATGAGTCTGACGGATCACTAATTTGTCTGTAAAGGAATCGTAATGTGTGTGTAACGTACATTTCTGGAAAGGTTATGACATAGAAGAACTGAAGTCCAACTTCGGAAGAAATTCATAAAGATTTAAAACCGTTGCTTGCATGTGAAGTGCGCATGATGTTAAGAAAGGAAAACAGCGCAATGGACTTTGAATGTAGCTGCAATAAGAGTGAGTGAGTGAGTGAGTTTAGTTTTACGCCGCTCTCAGGAATATTCCAGCTATATGGCGGCGGTCTGTAAATAATCGAGTCTGGACCAGACAATCCAGTGAGCAACAGTATGAGCATCGATCTGCGCAATAGGGAACCGATGCTATACAATAAGACCAGGCTATAGTGAACTTGGTGTACTTTCAGGTTGGGGCAGTAACGTACATTTCATTTTCACATACTCAAAGCCTTATTAAGTTATTTCAGAATGGCTATTGTTGGCCTACTTAAGAAGCTGTATGTTTTGGTACAATTTGCAAAAGTTGCATAGATCAAACCCTTTATTTACCACACTCAACATCAAGCAAAATAATGTTATGTTTTTTCACATTTGACAGTGAGACATCATTTGGACCTGCTTATAGGGTTTCAGTGAAAACAAGCATGTCCGAACTGCGTTCGCGAGCACATGTCGAGTCGTGGCATGCGAGCGTGACATGTGAGGGAGCAACCATTATTCAGTACTATGGACCGCCAGTATTTTTGGACAAATACATGATATGTTATTATCTGTATGATACAAACATTATTTGTCATATGTTCCTCTACCAACAGTATATAATCAAACTCACAATTACTGTGCACTCACACAAAAGACATAATGGAATCTCGGAGGTACAAAACAATGATTTCCCCCGCAGTTTGTTTACATCGCCTTGGCTACACTGGGATTCCCCCTCTGTTGAAAGCTATCGCGTGGCCTATTCCAACCGATAAAGAATTTCAACATTTGAGGCATTTCAACGTGGGGAATAAGGCTAAAACTCGCTAATAAATATGGAGAGCGGGGAAATGAGGCAAAGGATGTCTTTGAAAGAAAAGTTCAAGGATCATTACAGAACAAATCCGCCGAAATTTTCACCGGAACCGAAGGAAGCCAATAAGGTCGGCGTTACTTACTTCACGTGTATGTTGCTGAGTTTGACGATAGAAGGAGTATTCATCCTGATTCCCTCGAATTTCAGAGGAGAGTTCTATTCGATAATAATCTTTGAAGTTCTTGGAATTTTCATTTTCGTGCAGACCTGTGCAAACTGGTATCGTACGTGGTACGATGTTGCAAATTACGTGCGAAGTACCACAAAGGAGAAATACTTCTCGTGTGAAGACACTCCCGAGGGGTGGAAACACTGCTTCACCTGTCAGCTGGACGCCCCTCCCCGCTCACACCACTGCGTTCTGTGTAACAAGTGCATGCTGAAGAGAGACCACCATTGTTACTTCACAGCTTCATGCATAGGATTCCAAAATCAAAAATACTTCATAATGTTTTGTTTCTACACAGTGTGTGGGTGTGCCCTGGCTCTGTATCTCCAACTGACTTACTTCAGTGAAATATTCCCTCTCAGTACAAGTGCTGCGATCCACTACATTCCAGTCATGCCTGTGTGGGACTGGATGACTGGAGTCATATCCTTCCCTGTGCTTCTCCTGATGATCCACATGTATATGACTCTTACCTGTTTAGTGGCCACAGGAATGTTCGGCACCTGGCAGATGCTGATGATCATCTGTGGCAAGACTAGCTACGAAGCCAAGAGAAACCTCTCAACATACAACCTGGGAACATTAGACAACCTCAGATGTGTGTTTGGCCCCATTAAGTTCTGTGTGCTTCTGCTACTAGCTCCCCTTACTTTGCCACAACTTGGGGATGGAATACAGTGGGAGATTAACCCTAGATGTCAAAAGAGGTCCTGATCAGACACTGCAGACTGTCTCATGTGTATGCCTGTTTCACGAGTGTGCTTTTACATTTCATCACTTTGAACTGATCTCATCTGTCAAATGCTACTGCTGAACTTATTTTCTCAGGCCATTCCTTGTTATGGAGTCTGGGATAGCTTGTCACATACTCAACCACTTACCGTTTATCCACCAGTATGCGTGTGCATTGGAGTGGATGGAACTCATTTGAAACTCTCAATCTTACAATTAGTGAGTGAGTGTGGTTTTACGCCGCTTTTAGCAATATTCCAGCAATATCATGGCAGGTCTTACAATTAGTGAATGAGTGAGCAAGTGAGTGAGTCTAGATTTACACTGCTTTTAGCAATATCATGGCTGGGGATGCCATAATGGGCTTCACACATTGCACCCATGTGGGCAACTGAACCCAGGTATTGCTCGTGATGGGCTGAACGCTTTAACCACTAGACTACCCCACAGCCAATTAGTGAATGAGTGAGTATAGTGTTACATAACTGTAACCCAGCAATCTGGAGCATTACAATAAAAGGGCTTTTGGGTGAGGTAACCCATGGACATTACATAACAAGGTTTTGGATAGGAGGGATGGTCATGCATAAAGTTACAGACATGGTGGGGTATCCTAGTGGTTCAAGTGTTGGACAGACATCATCGATTTGATTTACCAAATGCATCAATACAATATTTAGAGCACGATTAGATTATAGAATTAGAGCTACAGACACAAGACTATTCAATATGTCTTCACTGTGAAGATAATGTTACCTTCAAGAGAATCAAATCATAATTACTGATGGTGAAGCTATCCTGTTGTAAAGTGATGATAATTGCTGTGGGAAGCACAAATCTGTTCTGTTTAATTATTGTACTAAAGTTCACTAATTTGTGACGCATGTTCTATTAGCAGAAAACCCTCAAACAGCGAATGATTTGCAATAAAACATTTTTCTGTCAGAACCTGGCTTTTCATTTTTCAGCTTAATTGTCCAATTTAGACATTCATTAGCCATATTTATTAGTCCTACCTAATAAGTAAGAACAATTTTGTGTTGGTCCTCCAAATGCCTTTGTGGAATATTGCCAACATTCATTCTGAAATATTGTGTAAATGAGTTGGATTGTTGTTTAATGCCCACTCAGCAGTGTTCTAGCTATATCATAGTATATGGCGGCAGTCTGTATATAATTGAGTCTGACCAGACAATCCAGTGATCCCACCTCTTACGACAAGCATGGGTTGCATCTAACCAGCATCTTCACAGGTATGTGTAAATTAGAATATGTGGAACAAAGTATTCAGTCATGATACCAGTGTTTACCTTATCATGACTGCCTGGCGCTTGGCATTAATGGGTACAACAAGGACTGGTCGGCTCAGAGTCAGTATAATGTGTCTGAGTGGGGTATTCATGCTTCACTGCGGCATGGTATCTCAGTGGGCTAGCACTATAAAACCAGCTTCAGTCTGGGCTAGTACAAGCAGCCGCACATATACATACACACGCATGCATGTCGTCATATGAGCGAAATATTCTCAAGCACGACGTAAACCCAATTTCACCTCACCTCACCTTATCATGCTTACAGCAATGGCAGATGTTCCTGGCAGCAACACTTCACCTGTAAAGCTGTGCTGAATACTAGAGACACCACTGACAGACTGAGTGAACACTGCTGTCAGCAACTGTCCAGCTGTATCACAACAGGATGTCATTGTTAAGTCTGGAGCAGTAGGCAACAAGTGACAGAGCAAGGGATCCATGGGTGTAGTTAATAGCTAAGTGACAAGCAGACAAAGTATGCAGCATGTTATCATTCATTCCACAGACTGCCTTTTCACAGTGAAAGCACATTGACAAAATGTTATTTTCAGTGTTGGCTATAGCTTCTGTATGATAAATGGACAACTGCCTGAAGTATTATTGGCCAAATGGTGATAACTGACAACATAGCACACAGACGAGCACACAATTGACAACACACCACACTGCAGCAGATGGAAGGGCAACCAACTGACAACACACACTGCAGCAGATGGAAGGGCAACCAACTGACAACACAACACAACACACTGCAGCAGTTGGAAGGGCAGACAACTGACAACACACCACATCATAGCAGATGGAAGGGCAGACAACTTACAACACAACACACTGCAGCAGATGGAAGGGCAGACAGCTTAATTGACCAATTTAGACATTCATTAGCCATATTTATTAGTCCTACCTAATAAGTAAGAACAATTTTGTGTTGGTCCTCCAAATGCCTTTGTGGAATATTGCCAACATTCATTCTGAAATATTGTGTAAATGAGTTGGATTGTTGTTTAATGCCCCACTCAGCAGTGTTCTAGCTATATCATAGTATATGGCGGCAGTCTGTATATAATTGAGTCTGACCAGACAATCCAGTGATCCCACCTCTTACGACAAGCATGGGTTGCATCTAACCAGCATCTTCACAGGTATGTGTAAATTAGAATATGTGAAACAAAGTATTCAGTCATGATACCATGGGTGTAGTTAATAGCTAAGTGACAAGCAGACAAAGTATGCAGCATGTTATCATTCATTCCACAGACTGCCTTTTCACAGTGAAAGCACATTGACAAAATGTTATTTTCAGTGTTGGCTATAGCTTCTGTATGATAAATGGACAACTGCCTGAAGTATTATTGGCCAAATGGTGATTACTGACAACATAGCACACAGACGAGCACACAATTAACAACATACCACACTGCAGCAGATGGAAGGGCAGACAACTGACAACACACCACACTGCAGCAGACGGAAGGGCAGGCAACTGACAACACACCACACTATAGCAGACGGAAGGGCAGACAACTGACAACACACCACACTATAGCAGATGGAAGGGCAGGCAACTGACAACATACCATACTATAGCAGACGGAAGGGCAGACAACTGACAACACACCATACTATAGCAGACGGAAGGGCTGATAGCTGACAACACACCACACTATAGCAGACGGAAGGGCTGATAGCTGACAACACACCATACTATAGCAGACGGAAGGGCTGACAACTGACAACACACCATACTATAGCAGACGGAAGGGCAGACAACTGACAACACACCACATCATAGCAGACGGAAGGGCAGAAAACTGACAACACACCATACTATAGCAGATGGAAGGGCAGACAACTGACAACACACCACACTCATAGCAGACGGAAGGGCAGACAACTGACAACACACCACACTATAGCAGATGGAAGGGCAGACAACTGACAACACACCACACTATAGCAGGCGGAAGGGCAGACAACTGACAACACACACACACCTACTATAGCAGATGGAAAACGCACAATACTATAGCAGGCGGAAGGACAGACAACTGACAACACACCACATCATAGCAGATGGAAGGTCAGACAACTGACAACACACCACACTGCAGCAGACGGAAGGGCAGGCAACTGACAACACACCACACTATAGCAGAAAGAAGGGCAGGCAACTAACAACAGACCACACTGCAGCAGATGGAAGGGCAGACAACTGACAACAAATCACATCATAGCAGACGGAAGGGCAGACAACTGACAACACACCACACTATAGCAGGCGGAGCAGACAACTGAAACACAACACATCACACTATAGCAGACAAAGGGCTGACAACACACCACCACTGCAGCAGACCGGAAGGGCAGGCAACTGACAACACACAACACACTATAGCAGACGGAAGGGCAGGCAACTGACAACACACCATACTATAGCAGACGGAAGGGCAGACAACTGACAACACACCACATCATAGCAGACGGAAGGGCAGACAACTGACAACACACCACATTGCAGCAGACGGCAGGGCAGGCAACTGACAACACACCACACTATAGCAGACGGAAGGGCAGACAGCTGACAACACACCATACTATAGCAGACGGAAGGGCAGACAACTGACAACACACCATACTATAGCAGACGGAAGGGCTGATAGCTGACAACACACCACACTATAGCAGACGGAAGGGCAGACAACTGACAACACACCATACTATAGCAGACGGAAGGGCTGATAGCTGACAACACACCATACTATAGCAGACGGAAGGGCTGATAGCTGACAACACACCATACTATAGCAGACGGAAGGGCTGATAGCTGACAACACACCATACTACTAGCAGACGGAAGGTCAGACAACTGACAACACACCATACTATAGCAGACGGAAGGGCTGATAGCTGACAACACACCACACTATAGCAGACGGAAGGGCAGACAACTGACAACACACCATACTATAGCAGACGGAAGGGCAGACAACTGACAACACACCACACTATAGCAGACGGAAGGGCAGACAGCTGACAACACACCAACTATAGCAGACGGAAGGGCAGGCAACTGACAACACACCATACTATAGCAGACGGAAGGGCAGGCAACTGACAACACACCACACTATAGCAGACGGAAGGGCAGGCAACTGACAACATACCATACTATAGCAGACGGAAAGGCAGGCAACTGACAACACACCATACTATAGCAGACGGAAGGGCTGATAGCTGACAACACACCACACTATAGCAGACGGAAGGGCTGATAGCTGACAACACACCATACTATAGCAGACGGAAGGGCTGATAGCTGACAACACACCATACTATAGCAGACGGAAGGGCTGATAGCTGACAACACACCATACTATAGCAGACCAAAGGGCAGACAACTGACAACACACCACACTATAGCAGACGGAAGGTCAGACAACTGACAACACACCACACTATAGCAGACGGAAGGGCAGACAACTGACAACACACCACACTATAGCAGACGGAAGGGCAGACAGCTGACAACACACCACACTATAGCAGACGGAAGGGCAGGCAACTGACTGACTGACTGAGTTTGGTTTTACGCCGCTTTTAGCAATATTCCAGCAACATCACGGCGGGGGACACCAGAAATGGGCTTCACACATTGTACCCATGTGGGGATTCGAACCCGGGTCTTCGGCGTGACGAGCCAATGCTTTAACCACTAGGCTACCCCACCGCCCGCAGGCAACTGACAACACACCATACTATAGCAGATGGAAGGGCAGGCAACTGACAACACACCACATCATAGCAGACGGAAGGGCAGACAACTGACAACACACCATACTATAGCAGACGGAAGGGACAACCAACTGACAACACAACACACTATAGCAGACGGAAGGGCAGACAACTGACAACACACCACACTATAGCAGACGGAAGGGCAGACAACTGACAACACACCACACTATAGCAGACGGAAGGGCAGACAACTGACAACACACCATACTATAGCCAACGGAAAGGGCAGGCAACTGACAACACACCACACTATAGCAGACGGAAGGGCAGACAACTGACAACACACCACACTATAGCAGACGGAAGGGCAGACAACTGACAACACACCACACTATAGCAGACGGAAGGGCAGACAACTGACAACACACCACACTATAGCAGACGGAAGGGCAGACAACTGACAACACACCACACTATATAGCAGACGGAAGGGCAGGCAACTGACTGACTGACTGACAACA